CCATTTCTCCGAGAGATAGGCTGCAGCTCTGGGTTAATACATTTTTGCTAAAGCAAAAGGAAAACTCAGGTAGCGTAACCGCTACCTTTCGTGATCAAATATAGATAGACAGCGCTGGGCTGCTTCGTTTCTTGATTGGTGTAATTGGGTGTCAAAGCTCAAGGTGAAGGTCTTATCATCCAACTTTGTGGCAATGTCAATGCAAAGAAGATAGTCAGCAGAAGCAAAAGCAGAAGCAAAAGCAAAAGCAAAGGCAGAAGCAAAAAGCAAAAGCAAAAGCAGAAGGAAAAGCAACAAGCAAAAGCAGTAGGGAAAAAAACGCGAAAAAAAATCGGAAAACCATGAAAATAGGTGTTCCCCCCAAAAGGGTCTGGGCTCGAGGCTTGGAAAAGGTTTCGTAGTTAGACAACCAAGTAAATTAGGTAAGTTGGATAGACTAGATAATAATAGATAGGCAAGCAAATAGAGAGACCTGAGAATGGAGGAGCGACAACCACCCTCTCAAGCAGACCGCAGACATAGTGCGTCAACGTATATCCTTTCCAACTAGTTCGGGGGATGTAGCTAGATCGATAGCTCTCCTTTGCTGGTGCCCTGTTTGTTTTCTCCAAACCCGTGACAATAAAATTCAAAAGGGGCACCACCACTGGGCCACACATGCCCTTCAAAATCCCTCACGCAGACCGCAAATATAGTCTTTCAGCATGTTATTTTCTTTACAGTTAGTTGGAGAGACTTAGCTAGATTAGATGCCAAACAATAGCACTCCTTTGCTGGCGCCCTGTCTGTCTTCCCCAAAGCCAGGCAGTGGTACTACGTTCGCTGGTTCTACCTGTGGGGCTGCAAAATCAAAAGCGTAAGGTGCAAACTCGGGATAGATCTTGCGGCGCTTGCGCGCGGCGGCGTCGGCCCCGTTCCCTCTTGAATGACCCCCTTGCCCTTTCATTGAGCTCCCAAATTCCGAGGTCCAAATTGCGAACGGGGTTCTCGCACATGCTTTGGATATCATCAAAATGATCACGAAGGTCATCTGTCGTCATATTTTAAATGCGAGCAGGAGTTGGCAAGCCTCGAATCAGTCCGCAGTTGATTCTCAACTCTGTCAAAGAAGGATTGCTTGCGGCAACATTGAAAAGAGACTTGGCCTCACCATTATACATAACCTTCGGAGTCTTTGCAAGATGAACTCCAGCAATGTACCATGTGTTGTTATTCTTCAACAACATGGGAGACCATGAAAAGCTTGATGTCGTGTTTACGTTGTGGAGGTAAGTGCCTGTACACGACGTGTAGCTCCCAAACTCATTGAACTTTCCGGTGTTCATGACGAGGTCTGATCCCTCGTACAAAGCACCTTCAACTGAATGCTTGCGGCCAATTACGCACAGCTCACCTTTGGCACTATCAGTGTACACTCCATGGTACGACTTGATAGCAGCAGCGGCAAAAGTGCAAGCAGGAATCGGCACGCCAATCAAGTCAGAGCCGGTCAATGACTTAACTTTCTCAGGCGAAGAGGTCGCATCATCAAGCTCAAACTCGATGGGATCTTTGTTCATCAAGTGGCGGAACAGGCCATTGAAGGCAAATCTAGCAGTAAAATCTAGTGTCTCGTTCGCGTTTTCAAGGAACACGTGATGTGCTGTCAGGAGATATGAACCATTCCTGAAGCCCATGCCATGAGCGAGCCACCCTCCATTGTTCCAAACGTATAACACACACAAACCCAAGACCTTGTAGGTTTTCCTCATACAAATCAATACTTGGGTTGCTTGTCACAATAGCTTCATTCAGGCCTCCTGACAAAAAGCTCAACGAGTCTAACGCTTGCATAGCATGAGACTGTGACGTCAGATCAAAGAAAAGCTCACTCGTTCCGTTGAGTGGAAGCTTTCCTGACGTAGGAAAGACTTGAATGCAAGGCTGATCATAATTAGGCCTGTAGAAATGCTTACGCACCTCCACGCCATCAAGGTGAATAACCTTGGTGAAAACGTAAAGATCTCCGGCAATCTTCTGCTATCGAATCTTTTCAAGCTTCTCTTTGGAATTGTTGATGAATTTGTTGGTGGTGCACTCACAAAATACATCAGAAAGTCAGTCGGACTGTCAGTCAGAACTCCTTTCAGAACTCCCGGCAATCATTTTGGACTGCCCTTCGAAGCCAACCCAGCCGACGCATCTCCAAACTGCCATAGGTTGTTGTACCAACTCCCCTGGACTGCTCTGAGAACTGAGTGTGCGCTTTGATCCTAAGTGCTGAAGCTGTGAAATCATGAGTCTGAATGCAACAGTGAATGCAACAGGCACTGCAACAAGGTTGTTGCAACAATCATGGCCACTAGCAGCCCACACTTCTATTGCAATCCAACTTGTGATACACACTGTGATTGTGTGTGTGAAGATTTTTAAGCTCGATAAAGAGTTTAGTCTTGTGGGCGAACGGTGGACCCTAAACACGCAGCAGCCAGTGGGTTGAAAAAGCTGTGAAATGTGCAATTTCCAAGCATGGAAACCGCGACAGCCGATTGCTTGAATACCGTGGAACCCCAACATTATCTAGGTTACCACGATCCTAAAGTCTCTTGATTTTGTTTTTCTGGCTGTCAACCGTGGTTTCCCGCAAAGTGTAGTTGCCAATCCTTTGAATTTGAAAACATTTTTGATTCTCATAAAGTATAGTCCAGTTTTAGTACAATACAACCTGGAAACTGAAGGGTATAAAGTGTACAAACGAGAGCCAAACAAGAGTTGAGGAGACACAGCAAAATCATTTCAGCCCAGCATCCAGACATGCCATGGAGGACAAGGGGAGACGAAGGGAGACAAAGAAAAGTCATGTCAGCCCAGCATCCAGACATGCCATTGGAGACAAAAGGAAACAAAGCAAAATCATTTCAGCGAACAAAGGGAAACAAAGCAAAATCATACCAGCCCAGCATCCAGGCACACCATTGCTTCGTCTCCCTTTGTCTCCCATGGCGTGTCTGGATGTTGGGCTGAAATGATTTTGCTTTGTCTCCCCTTGTCTCCCATGGCATGTCTGGGCGCTGGGCTGAAATGATTTTGCTTTGTCTCCCTTTTCTCCATGGCATGTCTGGATGCTGGGCTGAGATCACTTTGCTTTGTCTCTCCTTGTCTCCCCTTGTCGAGATATTGATGCCGTTGAGGGCTTTAAGCACACTGGCTCAAATCCAAAGAAATGATGTGCATGTGGACAAAAATACGTAAAAATACTCTTTCGCCGGTAGGATCCATTTCCAAAGACGTGAATCCTTTTTGTGGTGCCACATACGTGAACGTCACGGGTCGGCGACCGACCAACTCGACTCGACATGGGTCAACCTACCGACTCGACGAAAACAGCACCCGGAGTCCAGTAGACTCGACTCAGGCCGTTCTTCCGTGCAACGAACATCAGCTCGGATCTCAAGGGGTTTCCATACCCAAACGCGACTAATGGGACTGCCATAGATGCCGACCAGGCCAGGGGTGGTGCCAGGGGGGTCTGGCTTGATCGGCATATATTCCAGTCCCATTCGTCGTGTCTGGGATATGATTTCATGCAAGATGGGAAGAACCGATTTGAAGCACTGCTAGCAAGATATGATTTCCAATTTTCCCCCCCAAACCGAAATGGCACTGCTTCGCCCCTGCGGGATCCTCATCCCAATCCGGCCCACCCATCGGCAGGGGTCGGACCCGACCGAAAGGCAGGGCCCAAAAGGCAGGCAGGGCACGTTAAAGGTGGAACATCCACAAGAGAGCTCAGTGAATGACTCCAGTAATCCGCCATGGCGAGGAGCCATGCTCCGTACCACCACATGTCTGACACCACCACCCAGTTCCGAAACATTTGAGAGGAGACCATGGGAGACCCCCTTTTCATCGTTCGGAATTCCACCTGGCAATGCCACCCAAGCTGGCACCAGGCGCATCAGCCTTGGTAAGCGATGGGCCCAAACACTTCACCCATTCGACTGGACACATCATGTTGGGAAACATCAATGCAACCTTGCAAACAACGCCTCTCGATGTTAATTGTTGAAACATGTTGAAAGTGATGTGTGTCTTCACTCGTGGTTGATGAAGCATGTTACACACAGTAACAACAAACAATTCCTATACTTGATCAAAACCAAGCTCAACATCCAAACTTCCTACTTATCTAAATACAGGAAAACCGCTTCCAGGGCTTAGATTGAGAACATGTTGTATTACAATCTATATGGTGGTTGTTCCCGGTAAGAAAATAAATACATGTTACATATATATATATATTTGTAATTGTATACATAATATACACATACATAATCATCATATACGCGTGATGAACTATGCGCAATCACACGCAAAACCAATTCTTCATTTCTTGAAGGGCATTATTCTTCGCCGCTGGATTGAAAAAGCAACAACCTGTTTGTTCCGTGTCACCGGTCTCGTTTCAATACTGTCACCCATGTCATGGAGACTATCCTGGAGTCAAAAGGATATAGTGCACAAGGTCCTTGTCAACGGTGAGTTGGTCAGGTCTACTGTCACTCCAGCCACTCCGCCGAGCCTCTGGATCTCTCCGGATCCAGCCGTTGGGAAGCTGGGCGGCGGGAGCCGCCGGGTGGTCGGGAGGCTCCTCTCCGCCACAGTCACGGGATGAATGGCCTGAAAGCCTGGTCTTCAAAGACCATTTTACCAATTGTTGACCATTTTTCTATCAAAAAAGGAAAAACAAGTAAAACAGTGGTTACGTGATGTTACGTGGTGGTTAAAAGCAGGTCAAAACCCAGTCAACCAATTGGCCACCAAGTCCAATCGCCCCACAAGGCGCGTCGTTGACCTCTTCAGTACCCAGACCATCCATGGGACTGGAATAGTTACATATTGGGTCTATCCAAGTCTACCTGGGCCCAGTGGATGATGATGGTTCAGTTGCAGGCCTTGTCCAAAAAGGATGATAATTGTTTACTGACTGTTACAGGTATTAGGACAGACCCTAGTTACATACATGCAAACCCCATTTAAGCCACCAATGTAGGTAACTATTCCACACATGGATTGCCTGGAGTAGTTGACCTTTCCCTGCTTGGTTTACGGATGGATGATGTCGTACAGCTGAGGCTTGAGGGGAGGAAATGAGGTTTGCTGATCTTTTGGTTTGTCCAGTGGTTTTGGCGTGAACATGAAAGCCGGCTGGACAAACACAAAGGGGGCTCAACAAAGTGTGAGATTGGAGAAGCCTACATAAGTGCTTGCTGACTCAGTGTCAATTTCTGCATTACACCTTCGTATATAGCCAATTCTTCACGCACGTGTTTCTCCATGTGTGGCGCGAAAAAGGTGGCCAATAGATCTTCTTCTCACGAATCAATACCAATCCCAAACGCTCCATGTATGCCATATATGGCTACATTGACCCCCCAAACCACCCCAATGTAGGCATATATGGCATACATGGAGAGTCTGGGAATTGGACCAATCGGCTAAGGGACTTCAAATATAAAGCATGCACACGAGTCACGCGAACGTCAGTGGGTCCCTGGGATCCGGCCCTTCTTTCGGCTCCTTCTCGGCGAGGCTGGCCTGAAGTCGATCGACCGAAGATGGAGGGGTTTGAGGTTTGAAACGGCATCTAGGATTCCAAGGCCCCATGGTTTTACTAAGGTTCTTTACACTAACCAAACCGAGTCAACCATGTTTAACATGGTCGACTGGACTCTCAGGGTTCCCCAATAGCTTGATATATCTTGATAGACTGATACAGTAGGTCCCAAAGGCATGTTCAACAGACAGGCGTTTTTGATCTGCACTTGTAAGAATATGTCAGAATTATCTTTGGATGAAAGTCGCTGATCCATTACTGAATGCCCGCTGGGCAGGGTCCTGGCTAGATGTAGATGCCTCATGTCACATGGCTACGGCCTTTGGCAAATGTGCCTTTTGGGAGGCGTCCCCACCTTCCACCAGCCCTCTCCCCGTCTTCAATATCAAGCTGAGCCTGGGTGACTCACATCAATGTGCAGGCCCCAATGGTCAAATCTCCCTGTTTTCCATTGAAATGAGAGAGATAATGAGCAAACATCTTTAGGAAACACATGCGCTGCAAGATAAAGCCTGCACCCAATTTCACATGGAGGTGGACACAAACCCTCGCTAGCTCGTTGGAGGATGGGGGTTATCTACAACAGGGGTATGCACAGTAGGCAACATATTCGGGCATTGTTCGTCGGCTGAATAATCATCTGTCAGGAATTGGCACGCCAGCCCAATGTAGACTTGTGAATGCAATGCAACCCCCCATATGAAGGGTTCAGACCACGGGCACCGACCTCAAAGACAAGGGACCTGATGGACATTGGATTGACTGCTGGATCGACTCTGCTTTCGCCCCAATTCATCGTGCCCAGTGCCCCAAATCGCTAGCCAGGTGGCCGTTGATTGGACGGCTTGAACGGCCACCTGTTTCCGAAAACGGAAAAAAAGCAAGGCCAACAGAAGGCGCCTGGGTGGACATATATAATTATGCTATGCAAAGGGCAACCACTGGGATATATAATTAATTGTGCTCAGAACATGAGATCTGCCTGATCATATATGTCTTAAGCACTCACAATGTTAAACAAAAAAACTAGCTGTGGCACTATATTCTATACACATTCCATCAAATTCCCTTGTATGTGGTAAGTCCATTCACAAACGTCCTACCAGACTCAGAGTGTCCTACAAAAGTGCGACACAAGAGTGCCCTCCGCAGGGTTTGCAAGAACACAGTCCCACCCACCCAGCCCTGGTCACCCCCCCAAAAGTCCGGTCGACCCATCGATGGATCAAAAGGCAACATTGCCATAAGACCCTAGGGATCCAAGTACCGTCTCAGGTACGGTGATTGGGGACACTCTTATGTAGGTTTGGAGGGTCCAAGTACCGTACCTGAGAAGGTACGACTGGATCCCTAGGGAGACATCATAAGCCGTGAAATCAAGTCCACCTCAGCGAACTGGAAAGCAGAACACCGATGGTGCCTGAGCGGAGGGTCCCTCTCGGTTCCAGGAGGGTCCCTCTGGGATCCGGCCATTGGTCGATGCCGAGTTTCTAAGCACCAAAACGTCTCCCTATCGCTGCCTCCCCCAGGATCCACTGCCACCTTCTGAGGTACGGTGAGGAAGGAGACGATATGAGACTATTCCAGGCGCCAGGGTCCAATTACCTTCTGAGGTTCGGTATGTGGATCCGTAGGGCCCACAAGTCCCTCCCAACTTCCTTGCACTACTTGATCCCCGAACCTTCCAAACGCTGCCTCCCCGGTGCAGTCGACCCGGAACTCGTACCTCAGAAAAATGGATGCCAACACCTGTTTGATTGATGGGGTCGTGTCCGATCTCGAAGGGTCCTGGGTCAGTCGGCTCCAGCTCCACCTTCCCTTCCGACCGCGCCAAGTCGGACCCCCCGGTGTTCGGACGTTCCGACCCCCTCCGGGCCAACCGACCGCGCCTGCATGTCAGCGCGACTGCTGGCGGCGCTTAAGACCTTGTTCACCAAGATCTGCAGGGCGAGTGGGCGAGGCGTGGCATGGCGCCGCGCCGAACGGCCACGGCGGCCACGAGGGGTTCTTCGTTGGATCGGCGGACGCCCTCCACTCGGACGACCGCCGGTGGAACCACTGGTGGGTTCGACACCTTTTTGTTTTTTGGGCAGGTCTGTCCCTTTCTGAAGCAAGCATGCTGCTCATTATATGATGTGGCTCTTCATTCTTGGGGTCATACATGGTCATAACCCAAGCACTCCATGCAACACGTGCCATGACATGGACCGGACCGTGAAAACACATCCCAACACCACGTGCACTCCATGAGACCGCACATCTTCCCATCGGTTGTGACCCATGGAGCCCCTTTTGAGGTTCGAACCCGTGCCGGCGCGAAGCTTGTCCAACGAGTCGAGGGTTGTTTTTTCTGGGTACCCGGAGGTCTGGTGTACTTGGCACCTGAGTACCTGGAGTCGGAGCTTGGAACGGACTGTCAGTCGTACCTGTTGGAGTCAGACGTCTCATAATATCGCTGGGTCAGTCGGGTCCAGACCCAGATAGGTCGACTGATACTCAACAAGAAGTCCGATGCAAGTCTCTGAGTTCTTCATAGTTCTTCCATGTTCTTCCAGTCCCAGTCCAGGTTAAGTGACCTGAATTAGGACCCGTCACCAGGGGTACCGAACTAGGATAGTCGATTTGGGGTTCTGAAAACCATGTCCTTCCAGTGGTTTCTTTGGAGTTCCCGGGGGTGCAATGTTGACTTAGCCTACTTCTACTGGAGAAACCTCCAGCAGTAGAGAGAACGCTGAACGGATTGTGTCATGGCCATAGGGAACCACAGCTGTCACAGCTGCCAAACCGCCCACACCAAAGAGCCTTACGCCAGCAAAGGTTGAAGAACCCTAGTTCGACTATGCTATAGGTACCCCTGGTGACGGGTCCTAGTTCAGGTCACTTAACCTCTGTTGGCGCATTAGACAGTGTTTTTTCTGTCTTGTCTTCCCCTTGCCGTTGTGCCTCGCCTGGCTTTCACGGCTTTGTTGCAAAGGGCTAGTCGCCCCCTCAGGAACAAGCACTTGTCAATGGTGACATGGGACAGGTTCCATCACTTGGTCTTTTGTTCACCTATTCATTCTTGTATAGGACACTTATCCATCGTATCCCTCCAAAATGCTTTCCAGGTCAAGCACTGTTCTTGTTTCACTGGCGTGCTTCAAGTAGCGGATGCCGCCGGATCATCCGAATGGATCTCCGAGGAACGAAGGGATTGGCATATTTACCGACATTGACTCCAAATCAACCACCCCAATGTATTGCCAATGTATACAAAAATGATATACAGTCTTGCAGTTCCATGGAGTGTCTGGGATAGTTGCTCACAGCCGGCAACCAGCTGTTTTGGAGAAGCGCTTTCAGCGGGTGGCCGCCATCGACACCCAAAAGATTTTCCAACAAGGTGTTCCAGACATGGAATGGCGCGGCTCAAGTTCTGCGACTTTGGTAAGAAGCCCCCAAATGCCCAAATTGCAAACATGCTAGAGAACAATTGGCTGCTCCATGATGGCGGCAAAGATTCTGTGGATGCATGTTTGTTCGAAATTCTATCTGCATGTTCCAGGAGCCTCTTCATATATTTGGCAAAGAAATGCACACTTTACCGACCCAAGCAAGGGCAAGCAAAGCTGGATCGACCAAACCTTTGCTTACAGTGATTCAAATTCATTGAACATCCAAAGCCAACCTCGTGTTCAACGACCCCCTTTTCTTCCAGTGAAGACGCCTATGTCACATGACGTTCGGAAATCAGCCACCCCAATCAACTTCTTTCACATTACCCACCAGCGTCATGCTTTCGTCCTCCTTTCCCAGTCGGTCTTCTCATGTTTATTCGCCCAGACGCCGAGGGTGGTGCCTGGGAATCAGGGCGGTGGATTCCATAACCCCATCGGGTCCGTCCCAGACATGGACTGGAGAGGGGGCGGATGCAAGATGCCGATGTGATCGAAGGTCCGGAGAATCATCGATTTCTTGCTGTATGATCCTTTGGGCTATATAACAGGGAAGCAGTGAATATAGAATGATATAGAACTGCATAGCCATAAGCCATCATAAGCCACACTACTTGATGGAAAATGGGACATCTTCGACCTGCCTGTCACCCAGGTATTTCAAACCAGTCAGTTGTGGGGACCTGACATGAATGAAAGGCCATGTGTGGCGACGTTCTTCAGACCCACCGACCAATTCGGCGTGACGTCGGGCGGACCTGGTAGCTGCCCAAGGAGGCCAAACTGGCCATACTTTGTCGAGGGCTGATGCTTTCGGCCTCCCCGTGGTGCGAGGGAACCGAGGACGAACACACCGCGGGAGGAGTGGTGGCTTGAAGAAACCGTGGGAGTGGTGGGGAACAGTCCAAGGCGTTGATGGAGGATGAAGGCCGGTCCAAATACCTTCTCATCATGCAGCTGATTGAAGACAGTGTTATGTAGGTTTGAGGGTCCAAGTACCTTGGATCCCTACCCTAGGGATCGAGATACAACTATGCCACACACCACCACCTTCCAACAGCTCTCAACAAAGAAGGCTTTTCGGAGACTTCAAAGTGGGTGGCGACCTGTATAGATGGATGATGGATGACCTTCCAATCATCAACCACCCCGCCCCCTGCCCCAAAAAACACCTAAACACATCAGCTGCTTCCAAAGGGTCACCAACGGACAACCCTACCCTAACACTTAGTTCTAGCACTCCATTGGACGATGCTTTCCATTCCTCGTGATCACGCAGTCCGAGCCCTCACTCTCTCCGCGACCTCCTTCCATCGCCGGGTGCGACGCTTCGACCCAACCGGCGCCCCAAGCGCCGGCGCCGCGCCGCTTCGACCGGCGCTCTCGCTCTCGCTTCGCTCCACCGCCTGAGCTCCCGGAGCGCTTCCATCGGGGATGATTTCCTCGGATGGCCGGACGATCGAACCGGAGGTCTTCCGGTGGGCTGGTGTGCCACATGTCCGCCTAAACCCTTTGCCTAGTTGGAAGATACCTTTGGAAGATCTATTTCTGCCTATAATGTGCTTCTGTACGCCATGGAGAAGATCGCATCGGGGGTCGAACATCGTCGAACCACCCACACGACGACGTGAGAATCTTCCAGCTTCCCCGGGGTCCCGGGGTCCTCGTGGACATGGTGCTTCATGTTTCGTATCCGACCCAAATCACCAAGGAAAACAGGCGCTCTAATGAGGTATCTGCGGATTGTTTGTTGCAAATCGGAGAGTCAAGTGTAACGATGACGGTGTTTTTCTGTACGTAGTAGTCATATGTTGAAGCTACCTCGGTCATATCATGTCATATCTGGATATTGTATGATATTACATCTTACCAGTGGTCATGTCACTTGAGAACTATGAGCACTATATAAAAATTAAAGTCTTATGAAATTCAAAGCCTTAGATGTGTATGCTTTTGGGAGCAGCTGTAGCTAAAGAATGATGGCCCCCCCATGTGGAATCCTCGGGTGTAGGCCTTCACCTCTTCTAAGAGAGGTTTTAGACATCTCATGGTGCATGCAACTCTTCCAAACGTTGGCACCCTCTGGGGACTGTTCTAGTGTTTTGTCCCTAGGTCTCCTACCTTCTCAAAAGTTGCTTAGACCCTCCAGTCCAGTCCCACCATCAAAAACGTCTTTGGAGCCCCTTTAGGAATGCTATGTTGGGCATATCATATCCCATTCCCAGGGCCCAGTGGGGATGATGATGATGATGATGATGATGATGATGAGGACGACGACGGCGACGACGACGATGATGATGATGGTTCGGTTTTCCTCTTCAAATGGTGATGTTTTTGCTTCCTGACAGCTCAAGTCTATACAGGTAGTGGGCCACACCTGTACCGCTGCCAAAAACACACAAAGCCGCCGCACACCCCCCGTTTCGTCGGCCGCCGTTTCCACCGCTGCGGCCATTGGACCACCTCTGGGGTCGACATTTGAACTCGTCTCCGTGGTGAGGCATCTGCCTGGAGACGTGGAGAGGCTGAGCGCCCGGAGCGCCGGGTCAACTGTTGATCTGACCTGCCACTGTGAATGTGAGGCGCCACTGATGGCATCTGGGCAAAAGTAAAGTAAAAATTGATCGTTAACTACTGAGGCTTCGTTTTTGGGTTTTCCGGCGTCGTTTTCCAAGGAAGTGCACCAGTTGGGCTACGACTATGCACTGTTCAGCGCTGTTTGTTCACCAGGTGAAGTACAGCACAGGAACTTCTTACAGTACGGGGCATTCGGGGCAGGGTCTACAAAGGACACTTTTTTGTGGATTTTGGCATCGTTTGGAGACACCACATTTCATGCACTCCAAGAGGATACACATGCAAACATCCCACCAAGAGGCTTCGTTTTTGTTTTTCCGGCTTCGTTTTCCAAGGAATGTGCAAATTCTGCAAGATCCCACCAATCACGAACAATTTGCTGCAAAACCTGACCGCTCTATATATATGATTTTGACTGTGGCTCTGCTTTTCTGTCAATACATCGCCGCCTGGCACGTCAACACGCCTGCCGCCTGCCCTGAAATCAATCCAACTGGACGACCGGAACCCGGCCGGGCACCTCCTGTAGTGAGCTCAGCGTTTGCGAGCGTCGAGGGGAGAACTCCTAGAGCCCGCTGCGGTGCGTGTGCTGACGTCGAGGCGGGAGCAACGTGGTAGACTAGAAGGCTGCTTTTGGAAGCATGAACGGCAATTCCAGTCCTGAACGCTTTCATTGCAGCTCACATGGAAGCTGCCGAAAGGCCGGCGGAGTAATGGTGGACGCTGATTAGCAATAGGGCCCTCGACAATGCTAACTTTTTGAAAAATAATTCTTGACACCCTGTTTGTTTTAGGGGTCCTCTATTATGCTATTTTTTTGGGGGGGGGATCCTACTTTTTCGTTATCTAAGAAATGTACTCCATGTACCGGACCCAATTATACATTTGCCGCGTGAACATCACCCCTGAAAGGTTAACCTTTGTCCATCTGTTCATATAGTAGGGTGTCCCCAATCGCCCAATAAGGCTTTGCAGGTTCTTTGGATAGGACAAGTCGAACGACGCTTCGGGTCCGTCCTGGGACTTGGACATCTGAAGCCGCCGTGGCGAGCCATCTGCCTTCGGGTTGGGTCAGGTCGACTGTCATCTTCCAGCTCTGATCCCCAAGCCGCCCTAGAGAAAAGAAAGGCCAAACAAATTCATGTCCACCTGTTGGATTTGATTTCCCTCCGCCAAAAGTAGGTTGTCAACTCTAAACTTTTGTGGGTAACTTTTCAGAGTTTTTACACCTTTCTTCGCACGTTTGGAGTGCAAGCTCGAAGCTAACGGTGTCCAGAAAACCCTCGGGTTGTCCGGTGGAGTTCTTCAAAAGCCGGTCATCTCGGTTTTCGGGGGCGAAACAACCACACCGCTGAGTCACGAGTACGGAGGTGGGTTGAATCCGAAGAAACGCCTTACACGAGACGGGGCCCGTGATGTCGCATGATCCCGTGTCTTCGGTGTCTTCGGTGCGCGAAACGTGCTGTGAGGCTCTAGGGGGTGCAACGGTGTCTAGCGTTTGCCTAACTGAAAGCCAGGATCGTTGGACAGCACCAAACATGTTTCATTGCGTGATTTACATTTATTACTCTACTGTACAGAAAATACATGTGTGTCCAAATCACCTCCGGAAATCCCTTCTGCAATCCTTCTGCCACCACTCCAACAAAAGAAACTCAAAACACCACACTGACTCTTCAGCACCTCCATTCGAGGGGACTCGACCTGTCAGCGGAGGCGCAGCCCTTGACAAAGAGAATTCTGTGGAACTCCGGGAGGGTTAATTCATGGAAGATCACTCAATGGGGATGGCAGGCAGTACATGCCGACCGTCTCGAAAGAAAGCATCTTAGGAAACTGCTTTCTGCCTGTCAGAAGGAACCTATTGACAACCTGCTTCATCTGAAAGATGCTGGGCAGGGGAACTTAACTAAAGCACCAAGAGGCACACGGCACACTGCTATTCATTTGGCTTCGACACGCCCACACCGGAAAGTCCAGCTACCCAGACGCTCCCCCCTTCGGTGGGGTTTGAGTCCTGCATCCGTGAAGCGGTTACCATCTAAAACTTTCCAACCACATCCAGGAGATTGCTAAAGCAAAGAGAAATTCAGCTAGCGCGCTAGCTTTTGTGATTTTGATCGAGACCAGGTTCATTCGATTCATTTACTAGGCGCAAAACATAGATGACGTTGCTGGGCCGGAGTTGAGACCCTGCCTCATGTTTTCCTGAAGCAAGCGAGCAAGGGATGTCCATCAGAATGCTTGACGCAAGACCTTGGGATGAGAAAGTCCATCTGCAACTCGTGCCTAATCTTGACCACTCCCATCTTCTGCCCACAAACAGTTTGAGCAGCGTTCATTCATTTTGTCATATCATGTGCCGCGCTGAGTGTGTTTATTTGTTCCTTCTGCATCTTCTACCTCCAATATGTTATTGTGACAGGTCAAATCGCGGGCGGACATTACATGTGCGGCTCCTCTAATATAAAAAATAAACACCCTCCCGGCCCCTTCGTTTCCAGTTCTCATTACTGTAGTTCTTACCGCTTGACGCTTCCCATCTGGTCGTTTTGAAGGACCTTTACAGGATTCTAAAGCAAATAGGCAAATTTGCGCGGCAGCTACTTGCTATGGTTTGGATGAGCCAACATCACTAAGCTCACTCCCGGCTCTGACGTTTCTGAAGCACACCTATTCACACAACCCTCACACCCCGCTGCTAGTGGACAACCACAACAACTGACAATTGAATCCACAGTCCATCCACCTCCCTCAAAAAATGACCCAAATACAAGGAATAAATCCCAACAGCCACCACCCGTTGTTCCTCGCTAGTCCCCACTGCCCCACGTCTGGGAGGTCTTCGCGACGACGGCGGCCGTCCGAGGTGACGAGGGCGGCCTTGGAGGGTAAGGGCGCCGTCATCATGTGCATCAACCGCCGCGGCGAGCCCACACCACCGGCCTGAACGGCCTCCGAACCGCGCGGAGGGTAGGAGGGTGGACCGGAGGACCATGGATCCCAGCAGGGTACCCCAGAGGTGCGGGCTGGTTGGACTGGACTGGGACTGGGCTCCTGTGGCCTATCCAACCACTTGACGACTTGGGACGGAGCCCGAACCGGGCCTAGGGGTAGTTGGAAGTTCTTCATCTGTTGATCTCACTCCTGATATCACTCCTGTTTCGGATGCACACCTTTCGTGGCCCTCAGGATTGCAGTCTGGGGCCGCCGGGCCGCCCCAGAAATCGTGACATCATGCTTTTTAGCAGCTTACAATGGCGAGGATGCACTTCTGCGACTAACCGCTTGTCAGCAAGCAGGAAACAAGCAACACTGGCACAGAGTTCCCTTGACCTCCTGCTGCTTTCCCTAGCAACCCGCAATGGGCCCTCCAAGCCTGGTCCAAGCCTACATGAATAGTCTCCAATGACCTTCTCAGAAGGTACAGTATGTGGCTCCATAGGGCTATTTAAGAACCTTTATCGAACAATCATTTACTGAGGATTGTGCACACGCACTACAAAGCTGGGTCAACCTTTCTTTTACTACAGTGGTCTTGGAAAAACATGACTAGTAAGTTGATTCGCATAGCTTGGAGGTATAAAACACACATGAACCAATAACCCTCCATCCCACGTTGCTTTGCTGGAATCTCTGCTGGCGTAACCTCTCCAGCGCTCTCAACATCCGGTGCTTACTGTACCAGGATAGCTTTGGGGGGTCAGGAGTCGCGCGTGGGTGAGTTGGATTTGCTTCGCTGCTTGAGGTGTTTGTGCAAACATATCAAACAGTCCAGCAGTCACAGTCAACGGGGTGCCGGTTCCGAACCGTTCGGAAGGAGTACCGTCGGTGCCCGAACGTCACATCCACTGGATGGCAACCCATATGTGACTCCGAGGTCTTAAACCCATGTGTTCTTCTACCCCAAGGAATCCACCACATGCCTTCAGAAGGTGATTGGATGTGATTGGGCCCTCCAAACCTACATCAATAGTTTCGGATCACCGTACCTCAGAAGGCATGTGGATCCATAGGGTAGGATTCCTTCTCTGCAGCTTGCTTTGGGCCCCTTCCCTTCTCGCCACCGGCTCCCGCAACTCCCACGAGGCCTCTGCTTGGGCTACCTGCCGGAGGATTTTCAAGAGCTACCAGGAGTTCCATTGAGGTGTCACTTTCGGGGGACCTCCTCCTTTGCGGTCGATGCACCTCCCCGGCACGGTCGGCGGTGAACCATCCGCATCAGTCCATCAGTCCAGCGCGCTCATCCAAACAATCCGAGGCTCCCGAACAAAGTTCGTGCCATCTCGAGTCATCCCAAGTCCGCTTCAAAGGTCGTGCCAAATCAGTCCTATATCAACCTCCACCCACAAACAGGCCAGGCACAATCCAGTCTGAGGTGGCGAGACTCCGGATGTGAGATCAAGACCCGATCTCTCAACCATCTGGAGGCTCGAGCCAAGATTCACACTACGAAACAAACCCTTCACACACCTCAAAACAAGAGCCTGTCGGTCTGGCCACTGAACATGTGGTCAACCTGTCGGACGTATTGCCCCTCTGAATCTTTGCAGCGCTGACACAGCATGCTTTTTGGGGACAACCATTTGGGGTTTGGAGGGTCGATGTATGTCGAAGTACCTTCAGAGAAGTACCTTTTGGGGGGGCAGTTGCAAGGGGCAGCGGAGAAGTGACAATTGTCCAGGAAACAATGTGGCTATTCCAACCCCAAGGCCCCAAGGCCCCAAGCCCGTGCTCGTGGGCCAGGGGTCTCGTTGGGGGTGTTTTGCCTTGACAGCAAATTGATTGCGAAACGCCAGGGGCCATTCCGTCCTCCTAGAACCTCTTACTCCACACTCTGGTGTTTGCATTGGTGATTGTGCAGTGTAATGTTTGTACCTAAACTTGAAACAACTCTACTTGCCCGCCCCTTGGCTAGCTTTGACTTATAACCTAGGTTATA